ACCTGTATGCACTACGAGATTCGGTAATCCCAAGCAACTGACAAGCCCTTGTCGATACCGGAATCGCAATCGCAGTTCCCGAAGGAACTTACCGTCGGATGGCTCCAAAAAGTGGACTGGCGACCAAACATATGATCGACGTCAAAGCTGGCGTCATATATGCAGACTACAGTGGAGAAGTAAAAGCCTTGTTGTATAACTTTGGAAAAGAAGACTATAAAGTACAAGCCGGAAGCAAAATCGCACAACTGATTCTAGAACAGATCCATACTGGCGACCTATCGGAACGCATGGAACTAGAGACACTGAGAGAGGCAGCCAAGGTTTCGGAAGTACTGGAACTGGCTTGGAAGAAGTTCCTAGTCACACCAGCTTCCTTTACGACAACCCAGACGAAAACAAGCACTTCGATCAACTAGACCTTGATCGACACTGGCTACTCCACGAGAAGTCTACCGTGATGGCTACCCGAGTGGTCATCAACGCTACACCTAAGGAGTTCAACGAAGAATTCCTCCAAGCAGTTCCAGATGCCGGCGCCGATGACCAAGATTGGACATCTCGAAAAACAGAACTAGAAGGCCTGAAAACACAGGAAAAGGAATGACCTAAGCATTGGAAACTGAATAAGGATCTTATGTATTTTAAGAACCGCCTATTCATTCCCGCCTCAGAACCTCCACAAACCATGATTGCAAAAAGCTGCCACGACTCTAAGGTAGCTGGACACTTCGGACAAGAGAAAACTCTCGAGATTATTACTAGAGATTTCCACTGGAAAGGAATCACCAATTGGGTCAATGACTACGTTCGCTCTTGTGAGGACTGTCAACACAGCAAGTCACCACGACACGCACGCTATGGGTTCCTTCAGCCCTTAGGAATCCCTTATACTCCGTGGACATCAATCTTGGGTGACTTCATCACCCAACTCTCCGAATCTAATGGAAGTACCCAAATCATGGTAGTAGTCGACAGGTTCACTAAGATGGATCACTTTGTCCTCTTACCTACCACCGCGACCCCTAAAGATATGGCCACGAGCTTCTTAAAAGAAGTTTGGAAATTGCATGGGCTCCCAACTGAGATCATCTCGGACATGGATGCTAAATTCACTGGAGAATTTTGGAAATCCCTCTGCAACCTACTAGGTATTAAGCGAAAGATGTCAGCAGCTTACCACCCTCAAACTGAAGGACAAACTGAAAGGACCAACCAAGTGCTGGAAGGTTACTTACGGACTTTTGTCAACTATGATCAGGACAACTGGTATTCCCTGTTGCCCCTAGCCGAACATGCCTACAACAATTGAGTCACTTCAGCGCATAGATTAACACCGTTCTACACGAACTATGGGTTCCATCCGCAAACTGAATGGATAACCCAGCGCGAAGGGCGCAACCCCGGAGCAAGCACTTACGCTTACTGAATGAAGACGATACATCAACAAGCACGGGAAATGTTACAAGAAACAAGGGAATCGATGTCCAAGTACTACGATAAAAAGGCACGACAGCAACCAGACATTCAGGTCGGTGACCGAGTCATGCTCAACGCAAAAAATATTCGTACAAAATGACCCTCCAAGAAACTAAGCCCAAACCTTTACGGACCGTTCAAAGTTCTGGAAAAACGAGGCGACCGCGCCTTTAAGTTGGAAATTTTGAAATGATGGAAAATCCACCCCGTATTCCACGTATCGCTACTCGAGCCCTACCGATTCTCAGCTCGACCAGAACGGGAACAGGCCCCAAGGGGCCCGAAGGCGATCAAAGGCGATCTTCAGTGGGAAATTGAGAAAATCGTGAAGACCGAGGTTCTCTCCTACATCAGAAGAGTTCACGGCCGCAATAAGCGAATCCACGAACTCAAGTAGTTTGTAAAATGGAAGGGGTGTTCTGAGGATGAGAACACTTGGGAACCACCCGAGCATATGGAACATGCTCAAGAGTTGGTTGAGGAGTTTCATAGAGACAATCCGGAGATGCCAGGGCCGAGGTAGAATGGTAGAGAAAGGTTTTCCTTCGCGTGGCCAAGTAAACGCGCGGAGGCTTTTTACCCTAGTCGCACCGAGTTCTTAAAGGAATTTAATAATGTACCAAATTAGAAGCTAGAAGCAAAGGCTCGAGACGAGCTCCATGAGGAGGGAGCTAGTGTTACATATATGAACACACAGACCTTCCCCGCACACAGACCTCCTGAAAACCGCTAGAAATCCACAGCCAACACCCCCCTCCGGCCCCACCGTTGGCCCTGCGCGCAGTAATAGAGTTGCCGGAATTTGGTATCGCGACAGTATAAACCGGTTAAAATGAAGCATGGTTCATAATACCATATACGTCGTCGCCGTCCGTCCGACCGAAAGCTGTTCGCAGGATATATAAGCGGGGACCTCAGGCCGTGTCTGAAAAGTAGAATGGAGTCAATCGGACGGGTAACCATGGAGCTACAGGCTAAGCAGGATTGACCATCTCTAAGACACACAGAAAGTGTGGGGATGAAATCACCAACAGTCCAACGAGTTATCGGGACGTGCCCGTATGGACGAGGCACGAGGCTCAGTCTACCGCTCACATAGTATAGAGCCAACCGGAGGCCTATCTGTGGTTGAAGGACTTTCCCATGACGTTGACTAGTCCGATCGTGGCAGAAAGTCCTCAATGTTAATGCAGTCCAGTTGCGAAGTCAACGATGCATTGATAAGTCTCTCGACGGAGTTGATCACTCCAGTCAGACTTAGGAGGACGGTGAGTTGGCTCAAAGCGAGACCACTCACGCATACATAAACCTCCGAGACGAAGGAATCATGCCTTTTCGCCGGAGAGGTTTCGAATACCCTCGCGGAAACATGACAACACATGGAGACCGTAGTCTGAGCAAGATGCAAAGTTATCAGGGTCCAACAGATGCCCGTTACAATAGTAAGGGTAGGAAATAGGAGAAGGTACATTGTTTGGTATGAGATAGATGTAGCCCGCGACCACCCAGATGTGGAATACAAATATCGAGGTGCCTCCTTAGCTTTCAGAATCAGCAGCGAACGGAGAAGAGATCTTATCAATATATTCATTATACTTTGATACCTACTTTTGTTACAAGCTTTCTTGACCACTCTCCGCGAAACCTTATTGGCCCCAGTTACAATTCGTCTGACTTAGAATTGGCTGCTGCCTAACACCGACACAGCTCTACATGGGAGAGTCGTACACCCCTAAGTTCGCAATCTAAGACGATAGAACTTAACCGGAGAATACTTGATGTCTACTGGTGCTTGCATACATCATAGCATATGGGAAGAGAGTCATTTAGTTAGCTTTCCTAGGAGTCTCAATAGTTAGCCACTGACGAGACACCGATGCACAGAGGTTTTCTCTCCCGCAGGTGTATTGGCAAACACCTTGCAGGAACTAACGTGAATATGGGAGATTTCTGCTAGAGTGCGCTGACACCTTAAGCCCTTCGGAGATATGGAAATGGTGCCGGCAACCCTTATGAAGAAGTGCATACTCATGTTGGTGGGGGCAACCCAATGGGGCAGTTTCTGGTATAAGTCTGACTACTTGAAGCTTATACGAGAACTCTCCTGCCCTGACACAATGAACATCCTCTCTCGAGACTTTAATTGAGATAAGCCTGAGCTTAACGATATTAAGTTTTACTGTTTACTTTATTCTTTACACTTTACAAGAGTTGTGTTTGAGAGATTCGAAGTTTGGTGTGGTCGCATCCTTAGGAAGCATCTACCTGAAGGAGCCCCCATTACAGTTGGTACTAAGAAAGCTTCAAATTATTTCTGAGGTATTGTGTGGATAAAGTGACTTTTACCCCAGAATATGGGAAAAGGAGCATATGATTCCAATAAACCATAAGTGATTGAAAAAAGGGGTTTTTGCCCAGTTTTGGTAGGAAACGGGCTAAATCACCAACACTTTTGATGGGTCACTTTAGATGTATTCAGGTATGAAACTTTCCACAATCCCAATCCTCTTGCCTCCCCTTTTTGTTCCTCCTGGACTTAGACCTACTCACTCAAACCTTCAATCCCCCTCATTTTCCCTGATATATGCCACAGTCACACAACTTCCTTGTTTGGTTTAGTTCTCTGTTTGTGCAAACTTAAAAATTTTCTGTTCGTAACCCAATCGGGACTCCAGAAAAGCTCTATTAACGGGCAGCCGAACAGGAGCCAGAGACCACGAACAGTAACAGAATCCGCCAGGCCCAGCTCACCTCGGCCCACCTGTGCCGCAAGCTAGATCCCCAGTGCTACGATGATAAAAATAATTGAGTGGGAAAACCCCTTTCCCTTCCAGACGCCTTTACTCGAGTAGTCTCTCACATGCGGAGATTAGAGATCTAACGGGGAAGGTGGCGGATACTGCCCCCTACCCGAGTACGGCACCCATCCCCATGGGACAAGCCGCTGTATTCGGAGTCACGCCGATGCTGAGCTTTCCCCAACCACACAAACCTTTCACAGAAAAACAAGCCACCGCACCTCTTCGAATCGCTCTCTCGCAACCGAAAATCTTAGAAGCCTTTAAATATACACTCACACCCCGCTATCCCGGACGGCCAAAATCTAAGGAATCTGTCCGGTACAGCGTGTTATCCGGAGCAACGAGTGAAGTTTGGCAGTGGAAAATTTTGGAATTCAAAACATTTCATACGGGACAGCGAGGTATCCGGATTGTAGAGATCCGGGCCAGCGGGGTTTGAGTGCATGCGCTAACCCAAAGCCCTGGTACCCGGTTGGGCGCGGTGTAGGCCGGAATTGGGTGTGCAATCATTTCGGGTTCGGGTGCTGAGGGGTTCGGCGGTAAGTCCTAATTGTGCAGGGTTCCGCCGGGTCACTCATTCACGTCCCTGCTCTATGCGGCATTTCCTATTCATTCGCCGTCCATTCGTACAACCCCTGGCGCGGGAGGCAGCTTAAAAATGGGATTATGCCCCGACTTTCGGTCCAAGACACAACAAATTATTACGGACTACTACATGACATGGAAGGGGAGAATACGGCGAAGGAGATACTCGACCATACTGATGAGGCAGTGCCCCATTGGGAGTCATGGTTGCCAGAGGAGGAGGCGTGTGTGAGGAGACAGTTGGATTGGAGATTGTTGCCGCTGTTGACAATCCAGTACATGCTTTGCTTTCTCGACCGGTGGGTTACTGGATGGATAGAGTGGATAGAGTCGTTGTGATATTGCCCTGCTGACACGCCCTCGTCCGGAACATAGAGCAAACATCGGGTACGATGACAGGAATGACATGTCACTTGGTGCGCGGTAGCTGATAGACCTAGGAATGCACGGATTCAAGGAATGCAGAAGGATCTCGATCTTGTGGGGTTCAGGTTTAATTGGGCGCTGACCGTCTTTTATATTCCCTATCTTCTGTGGGTTCCCTTACCGCGGCCGGTTAGGTGACAGCTAACCAGTTGTGCGTGGTGTTGAAGGGTTGAGATTCCAAGTAATGTATTACTTAAGAGGATAGGTATTGTGACTTAGGTGCATTTTTGACCGAGAAGGAATTAGCCGTCTAACCTCCCTAATAGGTCCAAAGATTTACAGTAATCACCTCCTTCTGCCCCGATCGCTTCAGCTCTCCGCCGTAACTAACACCTCCGAAAACTAGTCCCCGCGATGATAGTATCATTCGGTATAGTGTCAATGGGGACTGCATTTGTTCAAAGCTTCCCTGGGCTCTGTGTGGCTCGTGCATTCCTGGGCCTCACGGAAGGCGGAACCATGCCGGTATTGCCCTTTATTCCTTTAGATTCCATCAACCTTACTAAGGGCATCAGGGAATGGCATTCTTCATGAGCTGCTTCTACAAGCGTAACGAGCTGCTCTTCAGAGTAGGACTCCTTGCCTCGGCTGCATTGTTCGCCGGAGCATTCGGTGGGTTCTTGGCGGCGGCCTTGTCGTAAGTCGATATGAATCTAGGAGTACGAGACGACCGAAGCTGATGAAGCGGGAATAGACGTATTCCTGAATGGGGTACCAAAGGGTCTGAGGTGCATACGTCCGTATTCCCCCTCCCCAAAACGAGCCAGGAATATGGATGTTAACTTGCAACCTAGGTGGAGAAACATATTCTTCTTCGAAGGCGCAGTGAGTACTCCGTAATCCCCGCAGGCCGCTACGCGAGCCCTATTGACGAACATTTTGTAGATCACGGTCGGGCTTGGAGTTTGGGGGTACTTTCTCATGCCCGACTCTCCGCAGACTTGTATGTTCCTGAGTGGCCGGGAGCGGTGGATCGCGGCAGAAAGGATTAGAATTGAACATAAAGAAGTAAGCCCGGTCTCCTGCCATGATAAGCACGCCTAACTGACGGTCGCAGCTCACAAGGGAGCAAACTGAATTATGGCACGTGAAGAGAGCAATCCTGAATGTCAACAATGTAATTTGTTGTATGGGATTTTTCTGCACCAATATTACGGTTCAGAGTTTCTCTTTATTCCTCGTATGTTGATTTCTTACTCATGCTCGGCATATCTGACTGATGTGGATTCAGCCGACAATCTTGAATGCCTTGGGGTGGAGGGCAACAAAAGCTCAAGTAAATCTCCCTGACCCCACGCCCCTACCGTTGCTGATATCTATAGCTTCTCACTGTCCCTCCATACCTTGTGGGATGCTGTTTCTCGATTTGTATTGCTTGGCTCTCTGACCGCTATCGCAAGCGCGGTATCTTTGTCCTCGTCTGTACAGTTCTCACGTTAACGGGATACTGCATTCTTGTAAGTGTGGATGAAGCAAACGTGAAGTACGGGGCAGTATTTTTCGCGGCAAGCGGCGCGTTCCCCCTTGGCCCAGCTTTTCTAAGTTGGGGGTTGAACAGTATGCCTCCCCCACCAACCGCATGAGAACGATGAGAGGCAAGTACTAACCACAATGAGAGTGGCAAATAGATGCTGCGGGGCCGTCGATCAGAGCTATAACAGGGGCATATATTGTCAGCGTTGGTACTTGTGGTGCAATCCTAGCGACGTATGTTTTCTTACGTCCTTCGTGGAAAACAAAGTTTAATGGATGGTATAGGTGGACATATATCCCTTCTGATGCTCCAAACTATACCCGAGGGCATTCAATCAACCTTGGTATTCTACCTATCCTATTTGTGATGCCAGCCAGAATTAACATCACAACAGGTGGCCAGATCGGAGCGGCCCTAATGGGAATATTAGGTATCTTATACATTCGTAGAGAGAACACTTTTCGGGAGCGAGGAGGACGGGAACACCGGTTGACGGGGCTAGTGGGGGAGCAAGTGCATAAGCTAGGCTACCGGCATCCGGAGTTTCGATATATGGAATAGCGCTGGGTAGAGGCTGGGTAGAGGATATGTTTTAACGTTCGGGGGATAGCCGTCGAGATGGCTAGATATTCTATGATATGGGCAGAGGTTTTATCATGATTGGAGCTGCATTTTTCTCTTCTTAGGGTGAATCTTAGTTCCTGCGGTTGCTCTCGTGTAGGGCATAGGCTGTTTGCACCCTTGTGATGCGATACGCTACTCGTCAGGGCGGGCATAGGATATCTTGAACATATAGGTCACCTGGATGACTGGCAAACCAAGTGGTTGTCATCCACGAACTCGAAGAGAGCTTCTGGGGATATTTGTGATCACGTTAACGCCAGGTCGGGTGGGATCCCTACCTGGGAAGATTCTCAGATTTCTCAAAAATGCTATGCCGGCATTTCCGAAAGGGCAGTAGGCTTCGGGGGTATGATACAAATACCAGAATTTGTTTTCTCAATTTTGTTTTCCCCTTATCAATCATAGGTGTAAACAGTTAGAAAGAGCTTAAGTTAAGCGCAATGAACCCCAAGGAAATTATTTATCCCCGGGAAATTCCTCAATATTAAGATTCATAACTCCTGAATCATGATAACCCTCATGCGAGCTTGCTCCGAGCCAAATTCAATTAATTTGCCCACCTCCTCTCCTCCTTTGCCGTGACATGCCTATCGGAAGCTGGCCTAACTGCGGTCGTGATTTTGGTGTTTTTTAAGGAACCAATGATGTTGAGGCCAAGTGCCCAATGGGTTAGGTCAGAAATTCTCGCCCAGAGGTCGTACCGGAAAGTTTGATCACAATAACACCAACCAAGGTCGGAATTTGTAGCATGAGCTGCGATACGGTTAGGAGTCACAAACCAAGTGATTGTTGATGACTAATCAGAGCCGAAGGAAAGGGAAATGAAGCAAGCGACTCCACCAAGGTTCAACGTGGTCCAAAACCATTTCCTGATTCTTTCCCTGTAATTATTGGAGGCGAGGGATTCCATGTGCCGAACTAGAAGAGGGTATCATCACAAACCTAGTAGGGTTTTAGGGCGGAGACTAACCGTAACACTACTACCATTCCCATGCAAGGAGTCAGTAATTTAGAGGATGACAGTAGCAATAGCAAGATGAACGTGGCAGGGATATCTAGGTCCCCGGGGTTTAGAGGAGGACTGGGATCGGGCGTGCCCGGGCCGAATAGAACGCTCTCAATTACTCAAACAGCATCTTTCAAAGGTGGAATGTGATTATGCACTATAGGGCAATACTACACTGTAAACCTTTCAACAAGGGCCCGGTGCGTGATGTGCATCGGACGGCGGGTCGTGTCCGGGCAGTTTGCACATCCGGGCACCGCAATTGCATGGGGACCAGGAAAATCCGAGAAAGAAAATTTATCCTAAATCTAGGGCAATAAATTAAAAGAAGTATGGTTTCGGAAGGCTATACTCTAAACTAGAGTTCATAGGACAATTTTGTTGTGACGGCAACTGTAATACCCCATAAAAATATTGTTCACGCTTAGAGCCCTAAGCGCGATACGATGAATCCTAAGAATCATATATATTATGATAATAACACGGTTGCCTGTAATTTCCTCATTATGTTTTTAGTAGACCTCTCACAACCTTTTATTTTCCCGTTATGATTCTCACGATAAAATAAAATACTGATACGCAAGGAAATACCAGGTGGGTGGGATTTTGGATGGACCGGAACAGGTGAGACACTTCAAAATAGTTTAAGTTATAGAATCAAAAGACCGGCGGGCATTCCGGTCTTCAGTACTTCATGAGTGACTTACAGAGTAAATGACTGAATCGAGAGTTATGAGCTCAAACAGCGGGCTTCATGGGCAATCTGTCAGCGCGGAGGAAAGGATGGGGCAAATCACCTTGAGCGGAGGTTGCTGCCCTACCGTGTTTCCGTCTGTACCAATTCGGGGCTACCGCCATGCCAATTCATCCTAATGTCGATTGGCACTGGGGGCGAATGACCGCTTCGCTTATTAAGGCTAAACTGGCGCAGCTCTCAGTATTTCTATAGCCACACCCTATTCTACACTCGGCCCCCTGCATCCGATATTGCTCCATTCCTACACTCCCACATAATGGCCCGCTTTCTGATGTCGCTTGCTTCCTTTCCTGCGAGGACTCTCCTATTTTCTCGGAGCCCTGGTGTCATTGTCAGCCATAATCAGCAGCGAGCAATGACTGCCGATCTCTCCCTGGGAAGCGGCCCGGAGACAGACCTGCGTCGACAACGAGAAGCTCTCCACAAGATTGAAGCAAAGTGGCACAAACGTCTTCAGAAGCGGCCACCAGGAAGTGGCCTACGGGCTCGCTTGCTTCGTCACGGGGAAGCTCTAGACAAACTTGAGGCCGAGTGGCACCAACACCTTCAGAAGCAACAGCAGGACAACGAGAAGGAAATGGAAAAACAAACAGCAGAAAATAATCAGCTCCATGTAATTTAATCTCTGTTCCTAACCCACAGAACATTTCTAACAAATCCTGCTCCAGGGCTTCCTCCTTCGGGAAAAAAAAGAGAAGCTGCGCCAGGAGGGGAAATTCAATATTCGGGGGGCCTTAGGTATGGGATCACAATATTTTCCTGTTTATAAGGATACTCACATACAGCCGCAGAACACATAGTCTACCAGGCCAGAATGGAGAACCAGATCCCGCGTGAAATGGTGAGGGTAGAAGTAGGGCTCTGCGCTCTAGCAGATCGTGATGATTTTGCGGTCTTGGTTCGTCAGGAAGTGCTAGCCCGCGGGCTTGTACTTAGGGATGTCATGGGTTGCGCTCACACCCTCTACAAAGTGTCGGAGCGCGCTAGTGGTAATGACGATTCTAAAATTATCATTAGAGCTTCAGAGTTTACGAGTGATGAACGCGCTGCAATGGTTACCTTCATGAAGCTGCAGGGGGGGTGGCGCCGAGCATTGGATTGGGTGGAAGATGAGGCCGATAAGCAGAGGGTATAGACAGTATAATAGATTGTAGCCAATTTCCATAGCACGCGTTGGGCAGAATTTTGCACTGGCTCCATCTTTTGAATGTTAGTCCAAACTTAAATTAAACCAACTCCACCCTAGAATGGGTAACCAATTCAGGTATCTGTGTTCCAACAAGAGTAAGCAAGATAAAGCTACCAAGCTTACAAATATAATGGTATGAGATTATGGTATACTCCAGAGTTTTGCATCCGAGGAGTGGGCTACGCGATAACTGTAGCCCATAACAACTACCAAGACACAGAGCATAGGGTCGAGAGGTACATCCCAGACTTCAAAGGATTACCATCGACAAGACAGATGATAATGGTAACATTTACCGCGGATCTAATTTACCCCACGGCAAGTCGAAACACACTGTGACACAAAACAACTAGTGTTCAACCAGTGTCCGTAGACCTATTTGCTTAATAACTTAACTAGCACGACAATAGAAGAACATCCAAGTCTTTTGTGATCTGGAAATTAGCTTAAAGCAAAGGTAACAACCAAAGACAGTCAAATACAACTAATAGTCGGAACAATGAACAAAGGAGTAGAGCATGCCATTTACCAGTAATAACTACACAAGTGAATAACATATTCAGCTGGCACATCTTTATTTGAATTATGCACTATGAGAAAACCTCCATATTACAACATCTGAGGAATTGGCCTACAATTATGAAGTTTCAAGGTCCACACTCTGGCATGGTAATTAATTATAGGCAGATTGTCAGGAGTAAACATGAGGAATAAATACAATAAATGACTTCAGCTGAAAATCAAGCTCTAGTTAATTAATATATACTTAAAACGCTTCTATAGCAATGAGATATAGTGAGTATTACATAATAAAATATGAGGTGTCTTGAACTACAAGATGACTACTGTCTACTAGAGATATTATTAGTCCAAGAAATAGTAATAGCATACCAATATAGTACAGGGAGTTGCAAGAAGATATGGGCTACAGGTTACAACTATGACTCTATTTTTAATTTAGTATCTAGAGTCAGGAAATCTAGTATAGCATGCAGATTGAACTTATTCATGTAGACACAGAACAAGGGTACTTTGTAATAACTCTATGATTATAAGCTATAGTAACTGACATCTACCTCTAGATATGTGGCTAAGACATCAAGTGGTAGACTAGCCCGGTATGCAAGACAAGATCCTGGGACATATCTAACGGTTTGAGTATCTCCATGAATGTACGGTGTATAAAGAATCAGTGTACCTAAGTAGGAGTAGTAATTGTTCAAATACATATAGCATAACCCGATCTGAATAACTGTCTACCAAAATACAATATAGTGGAAAGAGTATACTACAGGTACACCTGGAGAGCAAATGACTGATAAAAACATGCATAAGATATGTATAAAATGTAAGCAATAATCCTGAACAGCTAATAAGAAAACAGATGTAAAATTCCCAATCAGATTAGGAAATAATAAATAAAATATACATAGTCCATTCTTTAGTTGTAGTAATGTTTGTAGTTTGAAAATAATATCAAGTAGTGAACTATAGAATATTATCAATAAGAATATACATATGAAACAAAGCAGAAATTTTAAACTATTCTCTCATTATTTATTGCTTAAAAGTTCCATTAACCCTTTATGTACCAGTTTTACTAAGATTTTTATGCAGATGCTAGGAAGGTTATCAGAAGATCAAACCTTCTGGAGTATCAACAAACCCTCGATTATTTCTTCTAATATTATCTGGTAGTATATATTGATGTATTCTGTGTACTCGTTTAGCTGATAGTTTCTTATAAGAAGGTTTGCACCAGTGTTGTCTGCATGTAAAGTTCCAGTATTTGGAGACACGTATTTGTAATACCTTTGTGAAACAAGTAGATTGACCATGTAGGAAGCCACATTACAATGTATTCTACTTTGGTTGTTGATAATGTGATTGAGGCATGTTTCTTTATGTCCTACAAGATACATGCGGTATTGCAAAGTATAATGTACCTTGAAGAGGAGTAGGGGGTATAAAGCCAAGTAGGAGCTCGAAGTCTGCATTAATGGAGGTATTGATATCTTTAGTCATATTATAGAGATCAAAATGTCTGATATTTTGATTCAGTTATTATATTGAAGGATGAGTTTGGTGGCCTTAAGCAGTTATTTGGTAGAGTATATCAGCAAAAAAAAAAAAGTCTCGCTAGACACGGAATGTCTGCGTCCAGACGTGATTCGTCATTTCTTTTCGTTGTGTGAGCCTTGACTGTTGGGACGCTGACTCATTTCATCCGTCCTGTCCGGTGCGTCTACACGAACCTGCTTTTGCCTCTACCGCGGCAGACATCTGTCACGGACCCCGTTCGTTGCAATACCGTCCGCTCTTTTACTCCATGCCCTTATTTCATCTGGTGGCCTTCATTTTCTATTGTTTTTGGATCTTCGCCTCCTGAATGCAGTTTTACTATACCGACCCGCCCATGTGGCGAGGATCCGTTCAGTAACATTCCATAATAAATCCTTCACTCATGGTACTCCAGTGTAATCCTAGTATCCGCCTCTCGTCCGGCACATATCTGCTGACTCCCACCGCCCTCTTCACACCATGTAGTTGCTCCCACTACCGTCCCTAGCCTTCTTTGCTATGGCCTTCATGCCGGGACGGTTGTGGAAAGACCTACATCATGTAAAAATAGCGGTAGGTGTCGGGGTATAGGTGGCGGACGATTTATATTTCTTTCTGAGGTAGCTGACAGAATGAATTGTGTCCGCCCCAATCCATACTCTTGATGTTTGTACTGCTCATTAGTACTTCAGGCACTCCATATCCTCTCTGGTGGCAGCTTTCAATTTTCAGTTTACTTAGCTAGTAGCATTACAGTGATCCTTATATAGTCTTCATAAGTATATATATACAAGAATTCAATATATCTCACTAAACGTTCGCAAATCAATCTCGTGATTCACTATCTATTGTCTCTTTCCAGCAGGAACCAGATGTGCCTGCCCAATCACTACTCCTATATCGCCGATCCATATATCCCACCCGCCAGACCACTTGCAAACTTGGATGTATCCACTCATATTGTGAAATCTCCGACTATTCACTAGACTGAACACTTGAACCATCACTAGCCGACTGACACCTCTGGCCTCGCTCCGGACATTTCTTATCTTGCAAAGTCCTAATAATCATGCGACACACCGCCCCTGTAGATCCCTGCAACTGTCCGCTCCCCCAACCTGGATCCATATCCAATTGAGTCTCGGCCCTGCATTTCGGAAAGACTCTATTTCAATACAGCAAGCCCGGTGGATCTGGAAGATTTCTGTTGATGGAAAGTCTGGAACTGGAATTTCGAGCTCAGTAAATTGTTCCATGGGAAGCAATCCCCGTTCTGAGGAATTGGTAGGTAGCCGCAGCTCATCTGCTGCAGTCCATTGGATATAACGGACCATCTCCTCGACCATTGCAAAATAATTGATCTGGAGGATCTCGCAAAAGTTAATTAGCAGCCAGTGTTCGTGCAGCCTCTGAGAACTCGCTGTAGTTCGCTGCGGCTTGAAGATGTCTGTATCTCTTCCATCACATTTGCTATCCTAACCTTACCATCAGCCTTTGATAGTTTCTTGATTGTAAGCAATCACATTCCCAGGGCCTGCTGGCAGCCGTATTGTGATAAGATCTGTCGGGCTGCTTCATTTTTGTTTAATCTCCTGTAGCCTTCTTTGATCTGGTCCCTATGCGCCTGTTCACTGATATCAGTAGAATACATCATTATGGACACAAAACGTCCAACGTGGGCTGTAAGGTGACTCAGGTAGTGCATCTTGATAAAGTTGAAGTGGTTCTCACGTTGGATCAAAATATCCTGCTGATGTATTCTTTGGCGCCTCTCTTCATCCGCCAGTCGACAGCGCTTGGCTGCGGACACCTTAGGAGGTGCTTTGGCTCGTTGATCCGCTATCTGTTCTCATAGTTCACGATCCTGACAATGCGCCTGCGTGTGAGTGGCCTTCAAAATACACAACTCATGAAAAATGTCTTTCGTCTGGTGAAATGTCCACAGATATTCTTCTATATAAGATATGGTATCATGGGTATAGCTCCGATACTGGGCCATTAGACTGAAACCAACTAGCATACTAACATATTGCAAGGCACATTTGAACGAGAGGTACTGAGAACTGTCTGGATTTCGTAATGCAGATGCTAATATAACTATAACGCATCGGCCAAGGTTACGCATTTCCTCTCCTTGCCATTGCGTGACTTCCCAATAGGCCTTTGTTGGTATGCTGAACCTGGGATAAGGGGGAAGTTTTGTCTACACGTCATTGAGTACCTGCTGCCGTTTGTGCTTTTTCAGGAATCCTGGTATCCATTCCATCATATGTTTAAATAGGCCAAGGTAGATGTTATACAAGAGGTCTGGCTTAGGGAGGTCTGCAGGGTCTACACGGTGGAGTCTAGACAACACGTTCCAGTCTATTTTCACTGTAATCTGTTTGAAATATTCCCTAGCACCAGCCATTCCTGTCTCCCCATACTCCAAGGCAGTTTTCGAATATAAGGTGTAGCCACCGATCGTATATGTATGTCACGGGTCACCACCAAGGTCTCTGCCCAGAACCTCACACTTCAGGTATTACTTACTGCTTATTCCATGTAAGTTTGTATGCTCAGCATAATCCGCAATCCAGGGAGACAAGATGGGAAAGCAGAGTCGTGTTTTCCCGTCCGACCAGTCCATTATCGTACCTTCTTGGGCAATGGCCTGCAACGGTACAAATGTGAGATCAAAAATAGCCTGTAGTGAATCCACATTCCTCTGCTGCCGGACTTCGTCAGCACCAGCTAATTCACCGCTAAACTTCGGTGGTACAGGCAGCAATACAAGAAGGACGATCGGCATCTTTAAAGGGCTATTTCTAGGCTGCGTAAGGCTATTGCCAATTGTTACATATACCGGCCAGGCTTTCATATCACCCGAAAGATTGGTGAGGTGA